ATAATTTAATATTTTAAAACACTTTTTCTCCTTGTGACCAAATTTATTGCTAAATGGAGAACATGTCTTTTGAACTGAGTTATAAAAACCTGTCGGATTATTGTACAACTCTGTGGCTGTACCTGTTCATGTGATTATTTATTTAATAATTTCATATATTCATTTAATAGTGACCCCTCTGAGTATGCATAAGATGTGACTTTAGTTTTTCTTTCTTGGTTTATTTATTTATCTATAATTTTTCATGGTATTTATTTATGGGGGTGACATTTCAACACCAGCCTGGCACACAAAATAGATTTTGGACAGAATCCTCTGTATTCTCGACTGGACTCTTAACCCACCAGTAGATGCCAGTATTGTATCAGAAAGACTGAACAGACATCTTGAAAGTGAAAAACAAAACATACTGTATGTCCTCTGTGGTTAATATTGTATTAATGGGTTACAAGTTGTACCTCACTTTCCGCAGTGACTAGGTCACTATTTTAGTGTCATAAGTTTAGGCGTCATAGCGGCACTAAAAATAAATACAAGGTTTTCTTTTATTTTCAGATTTTTGTCCCAGGGAGAGACATTTTACAGAGGACTGCGTACTGCAGTTTGTGTTTGTGTGTGTGTTGGAGAACTAAGGTAAAATAGCAGATAGGCAAAAACCTCTCCATCTCATTTGTCACCGGAAGCCTCTCTGTCTCTTTCAGGGTTTGTATGCCTTCACTTGTGTGTAAGAAGATACAGTAGAAACTTGACAATGCCCTGTTGCAGCTCACTTGTCACTGGTATGCTAGATATGTGGAATAAAGCTTTTTACAACTGCTTTATTTAATGAAGCAGACACAAACGTCTATTGCCTGAGAGTAAATTCTGTGTGAAAGGATGCATTTAAAATACATTCATTTGTTCAAATGTATGCCAAGAGTGAATAACTACAAGGCAGAGGAGAGATACTTGTCAGTTTACTTTTCACAACAGTGACTTCAGTAACAAAAATAGGGGAAGGAAGTCAGTCATACCAGAAAAACCAGTTGAATTGCTTTTACTCGTCTTTACACAAGGTCACCAAGTTTCATTTGTTTCACTTAATTATTCTGCTTTATGACCTACATCTACATCTAGCTTTATCATTTTCTCATAGCATCTTGCCTTTTTATATGCTGTTTCTTGGCTGTGGAAACAGCACAGTGCTTTTTGTACTTCAACTTGCTGAATCGCAGGACCCTGCCCTCTGTGAGGAGTGCTCAGTGTTCAAGGTTCAGGAAGATAAAAAGCAGTGAGTGGGTGACGCGTAGCTTGTGTTATGTTACCAAAGACTCGTATCAGATTACTGTCGAGATCAGGTTAGGTGAAACCATAGCTGTGTACATATCGCTGTGGCTCGAACAAACCAGGAACTGGGACTAACAAAGAAGTTTTAAGGAAGCTAAAGGAGCTAACAGACTGATTCCTTTTGGTTTAAGAAGAGTGTTACCATGGGTAAGAAGACACAAAGCTGCGTGCTTCTTTTGCTGTGTTTGTCAGGGCTTGTTCACTGTTCAGCTGCCTTTGTGCTGTGGACAGCCATAGTGGAAATCAGCTATGAGCGCAACAATGAGACTGTGGACAAATATTGTGAGTGTGGGGTGTTTGGTCGTGAAGCTTCACTGATGAAAGCCGAAGGCATTGTTACACTGCCAAAGGGGGACCCCAGAGGCTGTGGCCCCGATCCTGGCTACAACCGAAATTCAAGCTCACCACCCTGGATAGCCCTGGTTAAAAGGGGCAACTGTACGTTCAGTGAGAAGATCAATGCTGCCAAAGGAGCAGCTGGTGTGGTGATTTATAATGTGGATGGCAGCGGCAACAGCACCACTCCTATGGTACACTCAGACGCACCCAATATTGTGGCTATTATGATTGGCAACATTCTGGGCAAGGAGCTTGCCAAGTTGGTGAAAAATGGCACAGACGTTGTGATGTTTATTGAAGTAGGCAGCCCTCATGGGCCCTGGACGGACACCTACTGGCTTTACTTTCTGTCCATCGCCTTCTTCATTGTGACAGCAGCCTCGATCGCCTACTTTGTGTTTATCTCAGCGAATCGTCTCTACAATCTGGGCATGCATAGGCGCAATGAGAAGAAGCTGAAATCGGAGGCTAAGAGAGCGATTAGACGTCTACAAGTACGCACACTCAAGAGAGGCGATGAGGAAACTAATTTTGACACCCATATGTGTGCTGTGTGTATTGACGCCTACAAGGCAGGTGACGTGGTGACAGTTCTAACATGTGACCACATTTTTCATAAAGCCTGCATTGAGCCCTGGCTGCTGGAGAAGAGAACCTGCCCCATGTGTAAGTGTGACATCCTGAGTGCTCTGGGGGTCGAGGAAGAGGTAAAAGAGAGCATTCCTGTTGAATCACCACCAGAGGTCACTGTGATCACAGTGGCAGGAGGAGAAACCATGTACGAAGTCCCCCTGAGTGACCCGGGGAGCTCAGGCCCAGAGAGACAGCAGCATCGCTATGACAACAGGGCCTTTGAGGGAGACTCAGAGGCTGCAAGAGGATGAACAACAACACTGGAAACTAAACAGCAACTAACAAGGACACAGTCAAATTCTCTTTTTGAATTAGATATTTTTCTGGGATGCATTTAGCCGGCCCAATGCAATCAGACTCTATTTTTCCAACAGAAATAATGCTCATCTTATAATGCACACATGTTAAAATAGATCTGAAAAAGAAAAATCAAGAATTTGAAAAGCTAATGAACTTGCAATTAGCATCAGTGCTACTGCATGTTCTTAGTGTCTCTTAGTGCAAGTGTGTAATTTGTGGCTGTGTTCATGATGTTACTATTAGAGGGTTAAAATGGAATCTAAGAACTGCGAGGCCCGTGTCAAATTTCTGTTTTGCATTGCATAGTGAACACACCAGGGTGACACTAGTTAGGGGGCAAGGGCAACAGAGCATTTAAATATCTGTTTGAAACCAAGGCCAAATTTCCTCCAACAAACAAACTTGTTAGCTTGCATTGTTCAGTCCTTCACAGTTAACACTGTCTTTTAAATTGGCAATGCAATAAATGTCATAGAAACTATAGACGATGTGCTTCCATAAATGCTATCTTGACTGTTAGCTTGGGGAAATGATTGTTGTCAATCAACTATGAAGTTCAGTCTGTTAATATAAAGGCAATGTATAATATATTTATAGTCATTTTCCTTCTCCAAACAACTGATTTTCATGTATATGCACAAATTAATATCCTTCGACAGGTCTTCCAGGTTTTTCCTTCAAATTATTTTAAATGTTTATTCAGTCCCTGTGTTCTACCTCTGAATTGTCACACGGGTAAATGTTGGTAGATTTTTAAGAGTAAGTGTGTCCCTTGGTAAATGATAACAATAAAGAATTATTTAATTTTTTAGTTTTCTGGTGGATGCTGATTGTGGGGCCTAATATATTTTCTATATTGAATCTGTTTCACTGCTGTTTTACAGATTCTAGGAGTCTTAAATTGTTCTGTAAAAATAAATATTACTTGCTGTTTTAAATCACATTGATGCTATTAAGAATACAATAAATCCCTCAAAATGAGGCCAATTTTACGAGCATATGTGGTTGTAAGAATGGTGTTTTTGGATGAGGGTGTAGAGGGCAAATATATGAGCGTGAACGTGAGTGTGCAGGTGTGTTTTTCTTCATTAGGCAGGTCTCTGTGTGAGTTATGGTCTTGTTCCCGGTGACTGCTGGGGAGGACTGAAACTGTAATTACCTCTGCACAGGTGGGAGCCGATCCACACACACCTTGAGCTTGAGCTGGATAATCATTATATCATATGTATAAGTTCCTGGCTGAGCAAGCAGAGAAATGCAGCTGTAGGGGAATGGGATGGAAATTATATTATTTTTATCTTTGCAATTTAGGAGCACAACCAGGGTAAAGTCTGCAATGAATTTACAAGAGGTCTTTTGAATAGTTGTGACGCTCTTGAAGATGTTTTTGGAGCCAGTCAGGTGTTTGGCCTTCCATGATTATAGAAAAAATGTGAAAGGAGTTAATTCTCTAGTGTAGTATTTCCCAACCTTTTTGGCTTGTGATTTTTCTTCTTAAACTGGCATTTTATTTATTTTTTTTTTCAGAAGCCTGAAGAACTTCATAGTATCCAGTATTTCACCAAAAATAGTAAAAATTATTTGGCAAGTTCTTGATTGATTTTCTTGATACCCCTCGAGAGGTCGTAACTCCCAGGACGGGAGCCATGGCTTTCGAGTGCCCTTCTCATTTAGTGCCATTTATTTACTCAAAATCAATTATGGTATCTATCTTTCTTATATGAACTTATAGGGGTCCTGCCCTCAATTTATCTACTTGAGGCCCCTAGAGGCTCCTAGGCACTGGCCTCACAAGTAGTCCAGCCTTGTTTTTTTAATAATCTTTTTCATTTTTACCTCATCTTGTTCTAACATAATAGTCTCACAGTCTCTGCAAGTTTTGCCCATGGACTGACATATTTATTACAGCACCATGAGAATGCATTTTTATAAGGTCCTGTATGTAAAATAGGCTTGAAATACAGTATGAGGGGAGGTAGGATGAAAGGTGTAGAGACAGAAGTAGGAGCAGTGGTAACAGGACATGAGGCAAGAGGTCTCAGAGCCCAGAGGATGAGCTGATTCTTTCCATGTCCCCTCTCCCCTTAGAGAGCAGCATGTACTGGATTTCATGCCAGTGCTGTGAGCTCAGCATTCATAGGTCAGATGGTTATAGTGGTATCACGGCTAGACAGAGAATCAATACTGAACTAACTGGCCAGGCTGGGAACAACTGGCAAGCCCTGACTTAGAGGCACGCTCAGCTCAGCGGTGGTGCGCCTCTGATTTATTGCCATTGTTAAGGGGAAAATTGAGTCAGAAGGTTTTCATTTAATGGTATACTAGTTGGTGGCTGTAATTTAATACCACACTTGACCTTCAGTTCCAGATAGGAATCAAACAGTGGAATTAACTACTGTACTGGGCTGAGAGTTTTATCTGCTCCTGTACAATCTAATCACAGTATCTCATGTTTTCTATGGCAACAGACAAACCTGGCTGGAGACTTGGGACTGAATAAAAAAATAAATAAATCGGGCTCTGTTTCTGGCTAAATAAGCAAGAAGACTGTTTTCTGTTCAGGGTTTATGCCCATGATCCTTGCTGTGTTTCAGTTTGTCCCTGTGGTTTATAATGACCCTGCAACACCACCTGGTGGAGAAAATCACTATTCACAGTCAACTTGAATTCAGTCCCAGCGAAAGTAAAACTGCATGGTCAGAAGCTGGTCTCATCCTTTGGGTTTTGTTGTCAAGTACCAAATCAATTTCATGCTTGAGTGGAAAGTACAGAGTAATAAATTCTGCTATAATGAAATAGACTACTGACTGGCTGTATAGGGCCAGTTGAAGAGTTCTAGTAGTTTTCTTCATCTTCTGTCTCACCTCTAAATATTTACTGAGGCTTCAACACACACACACACACACACGTATATATCTATCTATGTATCTATCTATCTATCTGTGTGTGGGCTCTGTCTGCTGTGCACGTTCAGCACAGCAAAAGAAAGTCTTTCTAATTAAATTACAGAGGTTGGTCTCGTCCCAGACTGAGTAATTATCTTAATGAAGGAGGGAAATTAGATTACATAAGTGCAGCAACAAACAAATAAATCTATTGACTAAGTACAGCATAAAACATTTTATTTATTTAATTTCTTACTGCTTACATATGCTACTACATCACAACCTCTGCATTCTTTGTGATCAATACTGAGCTCTCTTTCTTCCCTCCTGTGTTTATGTCTTTTGGCCAATCAGTTTATGTTCTTATGTTCTCCACGATATTTTAGTGATGGTTCAAGAGGTTCTCACTGGCTGAGTAGTTTCAGTGCAGCAGGTTTGTGACTCTTAGCTTCTGCTTCTGTTATTGACCTTTCCTTTCTCTTGTTGCCCTCTCTGGCAGATCAGATAATACTGAGTGCACTGGACAAAACAACTCTCATCCTGTGTCATTGTCTTTACTGTCCCTACTCTGTCCTGTTCTGTCCTTTGAAATGTTGGCAGGCTCAGCCCCCCCTCCATAGCTCTCTTTTTCCTGCTGAAGGGCAGGCAGGCCGGCTGGCATGTAAGGTTAAAGGAAAAATAGGATGTATCAAGAAACACCTCCTCCCTTCTGACTCAGTGGCAGGGGAAGGAAGTGATGTGGTTAGTGAGTGTACTATAAGTGAAAGACCTGGGTCTTTCATCATGTTTTTACATAACTTCTCATCTATTTTAAGTGTTGAGCTGGTTTAGCTTAGTTTGGCTGCCAAATGGGCTGAAATGGTTAAAGGTTGGACATTTAGTGTGTAGTAGCTTCTAGTGTGTCATAGTTTCAGAGCAGAATCATACAGAAGATTAATCAGAAATAGGTGCCCTGATAGCTGAGTGGTTACCGTGCAGCCCACCATATACAGTATGTGCAAGCACTGGGTGTACGTGACATCAGTGGATTGAGTCTGGCTGCCGACCTACTGCATGTCGCAGGTCCTCTCCCCTTTTTCCTGTCTGCCTCTCTGCAACCCCCACCCCCAAAAAACATTTAAAAAAAAAAGAAAATCAGCAGCTTTTATGAATTTGATTGTATCCCTAATTTTAATAGCAAAAATATAAGAGAAATATTTGCCAGTTCCAGCTTTTAAATGTTATGTTTGCTTTGTTTTAGGCGGCAGCTTACAGCTCTTGGAAATTATTAAAGCATTTCACACTATTTTGAGAAAATGATTGTTAGTTGCAGTCCTACTTAGACAGAATCATAATGGTGGTTTTTATGTTTTCCTTTGCATTTCTTGATGGGTAGTACACGATACATTTGGTATTTCTTTCAGTTGGTCCAGATTCCGAACATTCCCAACATTTCTGCATTTCCTCAGTGTTACTCCAACACATCTAGTGCATGTACACACACATTAGAGATTAAGGGATGGAGAACCAGACAGAGAGAAATAAATAGAGATGCACTCAAGAGATGTACTCAAGAGAAACCCACCTTTAAAATAGAAAGGTTCCAAGACATGTCTGCATTCTCAAGCGGCCTCTGTCTCAACAACCAAAGTGATGTCTCAGCATGGAGGCTGCACCTGTCTGGGACCAGCCCTGTACTTATCAAACCAATTAGCTCAGTATAAATCCAGGGTAAAGGAATCCTGTGCGGTTTTCCTGTCAATAGCCACATTTGGATATGCTTTGTGAAAATGATTTGTCAGCAGTTCTCTGTCTCAGTGATGGAGCTGTGTACTATTGCACACTGGAAACATATCCTCTTGTCTTATGCTGAATTTTGATGGCCTGAGGCAAGGTTTCAACCAATGTTTCCTCCTTGAAGAAAGTGCCACTCAGCACAGTTTGACAACAGGAATCAATGATCAAGCTGCTTTTCATCAGTTCCTGCCATTTTCTGTAATTTTATTCATGCACATCTTACTGCAGGCTCACTTTTCAGAAATGTCAATAGTTTGTGAAAGTGGGCATGTGTGTG